TCTCTAGTGAAGTGTTTAGTTTTTACACTTACAAAGTCCGCCATGTAAATAACAAATGCGCTATGGCGCATTGCAACTGGCTCTTAAAGGGAATGGGAGATGGAACTCTGATTGGTTTATTCTCAAAACACACCTATAACTCATTAAGAGAATAAGCTCAACCCTGTAAGATCATGCGCCACGGCACAAAGCGGATTTGCCCGTCCTTAAAATATCAAAAGTGGATTCTGACACGCCCTTAATGCGTTTGCGCCCTGTGCTTTGGACTTTGCACATGGATTGTCAAAATAGAGCCTAACGTACATTGTATGGCATATTTTTGTTTAAATTCATTACAGATGATACCCAAAAATATATAATTCAGACTAATAGTTTATACATAATAATAATAATAATAATAATAATGTTATACTTATTTAAAACAAACATCTTTGAAGGAACACAGTGCAGAAGTTAAAAACACTCAGCTTTTAGCTTTCATTCCTAATCAATTGGTTTTACAAATGTGTTATCAAGGAGTTGCAAAAAAATCAATTAGTCAAAAAAGAAAACACAAAGTCAATTTAAACAAATTGTCAAATTAAAATGTAATTTTAGTCCATTAAAATATTATTAAATTAAATGCAATATAAGAATAAATATATTGTTTCATTTTTACTTATTCATTTGTTACACCAAAGACTATAGAATACAGTTTTGAATAGTTCTGAATGGAGAAATATGTAATGGTCAACATGGCGAATGAAGCCCCTGCTTCTAGTACAAGAGCAAATCAGCGATCGCTATTAACTGATAGTTCTACAGAGGAGAAGCTCAGACCAACTGTGAGTTTCTGCAGATTTTGTGTGATTCGAACATTTATAAATGAATCTAAATGCACAGTTGTTGTTTAATTTTCTTAGTGATTCCTTATATAAAATTATTCATAAGCTTGCCCGAGCATGCTGCCCAAAGCAGGTCGCACACCAGAAGCGCCGCTCGGCGCCGCGACACGGCGCGTACATGACAGATTAAAGTATCGCACACCAGACGCGCACATTCGAATGATATTTAACATGAAACTAATCAGATGGCGCTCTGTGGCGCGGCTGAAAAATGAACTGCGTCCTGAGCCGTCGCCGGGCGCCGCCGACAGCCGCCGACTTGCGGCGCCGGTGTGTGTATCCTGATAGAAACCTATGATTAGAATTCTAAAATACATGGCGCTGCGTGGCGCTGTGCGGCGCGCCGCCGAGCGTCGCTTCTGGTGTGCGACCTGCTCAAGATGGCTGTTTCAAAGATGGCCGCCGAGTGAAATGTCTTGCCTTAAAGGAACTTTGGTAACGCTGAACAAAGATTGACATTATTTAAACTATATATTAACAAATAATTATTTTAAACTTTAAGCAAGCACGTACACGCTCATTTTCTGTGTCCATTTAGTAAAATGTGCAGTTTGATCTCATCTTTATTTTATAAACTGCGCATTGTCTGGCATATTTTTTTTACAGTAATTACTGATGATACCCACCAAGATATCATTCGGACTACAATAATCATGTTATATTTATTGTCATACTTGTCAAATCTTGTCATACTTATTTAAACAAACATCTTTGAAGGAACACAGTGCAGAAATTCTTCATGCATTCCTTTCAGACCAATAGGAAGTTTGTTATTAAGGAGTTGCAAAAAAATTAACCATATTTTAACAAAAGCTATTTTAACTTAACTTAAAGTAGGCACTTAACATGCTCATTGTCTGTGTCTATTTAGTAGAATGTTTAATTTGTATTATGAAATAAAGATTCAGTATATCGGCCTCCCGTGTTGTGCTCTCATCTTGAGTGTGTATTCATCTGTCCTCAGCACACAAACATGCGTGTGTGCTGATAAGGTGAACACGCAGTGGGCTGAAATACCAACGCTTGTATCAGCAATGTGTGTTTGCACTGCAAATAAGACTTCATAATGTTGCTGGCAGATAGAAGCGTCTTCAGGGTCAGGGTCATTCTTATTTTGAAAATGCGCTGCTCTCTGCCACCATTTATCTATCGTGTAAGTCGAGAGAGGCTAGAAACATAGGAACAGCTTAATCCTTTTATAACAAGTCTGCGTTTTTCTCTTATTCTTGAGTTCTGCGATACCCTTTGGACCTCAATGCACATGTAATTGGCCATGTGCTCTTTTCAGGCATTCAGTAGCCTCATTACTCCAGCATCGTAGCTTTGGGGAATCCGCGATTCTAATGATGCTGTGAAAATGCATCGAGCCCAATTCTGAATTTTAACATTCGGTTTCTCCGTTTGATCTGGTAATTCATTTTTATGAAGTTCTGTGTTGCTGTGGCATCTTTATGCATATGTGCGTCTTTTTTTGAACTGAAAGACAGTCTAGAAGCTAATTTTGTGTGTCAGAAAAAAGTGTCAATGTGTGATCAAAGTATGATTAAACCTCTGAACTTGTTTAAGTTAATGCATTTGAATGAAAACGAGGATGTCAACCCCAGTTGATGTAGAAGCGTTCATTTTTTAATTGGTAAAATTTGCAGTAGATCTTTACTTTCCCAGGCTACTTTTGCGTATTTAGCTTATTCGTGACTCTATATAAGAATCCCATATACTTGTTTAGCAAACATTTTGTGATTTTGAGCACAGGATCATATTTGATTTTCAAATATGTTTTTTACATCAAATTTAAGTCTATAATATTCTAATTCACCTCCTGGCTGCTATTTATTAATATATGTTTTACACAACTGCCACAGCCATATCACACTGTAGCCCAAGACCAACTTCTCACTGAAGCTATGCAGGGCTGATACTGGTCAGTATCTGGATGGGAGACCACATGGGAAAACTAGTTTGCTGTTGAAAGTGATGTTAGTGAGGCCAGCAGGGGGGCACTCATCCTGTTGTCTGTGTGAGTCCTATTGCCCCAGTAAAGCTAAGAGGATGCTACACTGTCAGTGAGCACCGTGAATCAGATGTAAATTAAAGGTCCTGACTCTCTGTGGTGATTAAAAATTCCATGGCACTTCTCGTGAAGATTAGGGGTGCAACCCCGGTGTCCTGGCCAAATTCCCTCAATGTGCCCTTACCCATGATGGCCTCCCATCATCTTCATCCACTGAATTGGCTCTATCACTGTCTCTCCACTCAACCAGAAGCTGGTGTGTGGTGAGCTCACTGGCGCCGTTCTTCTGTGGCAGCCGTCACATCATCCAAATGGATGCTGTGCACTGGTGGTGGTGTGGAGAGACCCCTTCATGATTGTGGAGCACTTTGGGTGTATGGCCATACACAATAAATGCATTATATAAATACACATTACATTACAATTGTCATCAAGTAGTTATTCATTGAGGATTTTTCAAGGAAGTAAAAAAAATGTAGTTATATTGCTGTGATTGCATATTATTTGTCATATCCTATTAAGTAAAGGTCAAATATGTAAGTTTTTTTTTTTTATCTAAATATATAACTCTATATAAAAGAATTGCGGGTACATTTTAGCATTTTCATTCATTTTTATTGTCTTAAATTATAACTGTTGTAAATTGTAGTAAATGGAATGCATTATTATTGTAAAATGATGCTAAATGCTTAAATGGGGAACATTTGAATCTGTTACTATTGTTTAAAATTGTTAATTTCTTAAAGCACTGATAAACTGGACAATTATAAAGTTGACATTTTCCACCATTTTGTGCTTTGGCTCAGCATGCTAACTTCAAACCAGATAACACATGGCATGTGTAAAGCTGAACTTTATGTATTTTGTTTTATTATTATTTATATTATTGTTATTAGTGTTGAAATTCATTAAAATATCATATTAATGGGGTTTTTGTATTTTTGTCTAGTATTTGTGTCTCAGTACCTTCCAGAGTTTTCCTTTAAAGAAAGTGACATCATTTGAAGCAAGTCACATGCTTTTTCAGATGCATTTTTTGTATTACTTAAATTGCTTAAATTGCAATTGTTACAAAAAGCATATTTCATTTAAATGTTTCACTTTGTGAACACACACACAAAAAATATTCTAATATACATATTATTTCATGGTAGTTGAATGTATGATTCAGGAGGTAGAGACAGTTAAATTAGGTATAATGGGAGTTTTCTTTATTTTTTTCTGCATAGTGTCTGATTCGCCTAGGGGCAGCCACAGTGGAATTAATAGCCAACTATTCCAGCATATGTTTTTCCAGCCTCAACCCAGTACTGGGAATCACCCATACACTCTCGCATTTACACACACACTCATACACCTTGTCCAATTTAGTTCATCCCATTCACATGAGTTTGGACAGGGGGCGAAACTAGAGCACCTGGAGGAATCCCATGCCAACACGTGGAGCACATGCAAACTCCACACAGAAATGCCCACTGGCCCAGCCGGTACTTGAACCAGCGATTGTCTTGCTGTTGGGAGTTTTAAGTTTTTTTTTTTTAAAGCAAAATGTCTCTAAATAAACATACAGATGTGTTATAAATCAAAACTGTCCAATTAAGTTATTATTTTTTAAGTTTTTATTTTTAAAGCAAAATGTCTCTAAATAAACATACAGATGTGTTATTAATCAAAACTGTCCAATTAAAGTTTATTTGCTCAGACGATGGACATTAATACGACCATATTTTGGCATCTAATTTAAACAAAACTTTTTTGAAACATTAAAGTAGACACGTTGTATATACATTTCCTTTATAAAAACATAATTTGACCTCATCTTTAAGTCATACGGATGTTTTGTTCATTCTCTGATGGACCTCAGATGCACATGTAATTGGTAATTGGCCATATGCTCTTCTAACACATTCACTAGCTTCATTACTTCAACATTTGCTTTGGGGAATTTTTTGAAAAATTTTATGAAAACACATTGGGCCTGTTTCAGACTTTTAAACTTGAGTTGCTTGTGTTTAATCTGGCGATTCATTTCTGTGTTGTATCTGTAAGTCCTGTATTGCCGTGCCATATCCTCGCTGATATTTGTGTCTTTTATATTCATTCAGATGAAAACTGGGATGACGACCAGCTCTTGGGCTTTGAGCCGTGCAATGAAAACCTGGTTACGGGCTGTAACATCATTGATGGCAAGTGTGAGTGTGACAGTGTACGGACATGCAACAACCCATTTGAGTTCGCTAGCCAGGAAGCCTGTCAGACGGCGCTACAGAAGATTGAAGGTACCTCTCACTTCTCCATTCACGTAATCTTTTCTCTCCATTAGCCTGTACCTGCATGCACATGTTTTTCTGCAGTAATAGGATCATGCTCTTTAATGCGTTCTTGATGGGTTTCATCTCTAAAATGTGCGTTTGAACTTTCGATTGGTTGATTTTGTGAGCATTCTCGCAAAACGAGCTTGATAACGAGTCTCTTTGCAATTGTTTTGGTTATATTTCATGTATCTTGCACGTCATTAAAGATATCAAGAAGTGGATGTGTTTCTCTGTCGAGCATTCTTCTTAATTATCCTTAATTAGGTGTGCTAATTGGAATAAGCTTCCTTATTAGGTTTGAGTGAATCTAAGGATAATCAATCTAAACGCTCATTTTCTGTGTCAATGAAGGTATGATTTAACCTCTGAACTAATTTAAATTAATGAATTGGAATAAAAATGAGAATGTCAAGCGGAGTTGTTGTGGAAAAGCGTTTTATTAGTGGTGAAAATGTGCAGTAGGTCCTTTCCCAGGCACATTTTCCACATTTTTTGTTTGTACAGCTATTTATTTTGCAAAAAGTTTTGTGACTTTGAGACAGGGACATCTTTTATGCCCTTGCTAAGCCATGTTTGAAGACCCTGGAGTTTTCTTTTTTTTTCTCTCGAATTGTTGATTGTTTTAATTCCCTTCCCTTTGTGAAGGGTGGGGTAGAAAAAGCCTATTTTATTCTCTTTTCTCAGTGCAGCCTTGCTCATATGACAGGATTTTGTAGAAGCCTGTGATTAAACAAACAAACAAGCTGATTTACTAGAGGCTGATAAGGCTCCTTTTAGAGCTATCAGAATGCAAATGTTGCGTTGAAAAATGTGCTCCCTGATGGATACTTGCTTCCATTCTCCGAGCGTGCCTGTGCATTTTGTCTGAGTCAGTGGCACACTGGCAATTAAACATAAAAATACATGCTTGTTATCACAACGGTCCTAGCAACGGGTGCAGGGCCTTGTTGTTTTATTGTGGCAGGTGTGCTTTTCGTCATCCCTGAAGCAAGCTGTGGCTATTTTTGAAGGTTTTACCCCCTGTTTTGTTTTACTAATAGGTGCTTGTCATGTTGTTTTGACTAGAGCTTTAGAGTTGTTGCAGTTGTCACTTCTTTATTGTGATGTTGTGTCTAGTCTGGGATGTTGTTTTGCTTGTCTATTTGTAGAGTTGTCAATTTGCTAGAGCTGTTGTGTCTAATAGACACTTAATTCTCTTGATGAGTAGCTTGTTGTTGATGTTTTTTTCCCCTTTGGCTGTTGGCCTATCATTTTGATATCTATGTGCTTTTACAGTGTTTTATTAGTGGCGTTCAGGCTTGTAAAATGGGCAAAGTAATGGAAGGAAATTGTTCATTTTGCCAATGAACACCAGCTGACTGAACAGCTAAACAAGAGCCTGACTAGAGTGGAAAACTAGCTAAGTCCAGCTCAAGCAATTCTAGGCTGGTTTAAGCAGGATTTCTGGGGACCAAAATTGATGGAGGGCTCCTTTGGTCACACACTAACAACCAAAGAAATGCTATGGTTAGCTAAATACATGGCAGCATTTATGCAAAATAACATAGCTCAAGGCCGAAGTTCAGATTATAGTCATTGCACCACCTGCTGGCAGCAGAAAGTGTGGCATATTTGAATCACTTTGACTCATTCCTTCTAAGGCCCTGACCCATATGGCCTTACATTTTGCATGCTCACAAAGTGTATGAATCAATTGGGTGTCCTATCTATAATTTTTATGCTATAAAATATACTCATCAGCACCCACTTTTGCACTCATGATGTTCTGTAGGCTCAATAAAATCCAGAACGTCTTGCGATCACACAACGGATGGAAGAAGTTCACAGTACTGATTGTACAACATGTCAGGAGAATGCTGTTGTCAAAAGTGTTACTTTGGTATCGATAGATACCGAAACTTTAAAAATGCCAATTTCTCACTAACATTTAAGCACATGCTTTAACTCCGTTGTGTTTATGTGCTCAACAGATATGACTGTGATTGGCTCTGAAGGTCATCGCTTCACCACACTTCACCTCTGTTCACCAAGAGCAAACACAGATATGAACACTGGAGAGTTTGAAAGTTGCATCTATTAGCTGATCTGTCTGTGAGCAGATATATGAGAAATCTGCATATGGATTGGCTGATAGACGTGGCTTTCAAACAATTCATTGTCCATGTATTTATTCACACTTGGTGAACAGTAATGAAGCGATAACCACACCTCTTCCTATTTGAGTTTGTCTTAGAATGTATTTCAGTTAACCCTTGTGCGTCAAGGTTTGCTTAAGGCCAGGACACACCGAGCTAATTCTAAACAACTAGCAGAAAAAAAAACGTTAAAAATCTTTAGCAAAGTTACAGCCAACCTCGTTGTGACCCTTCTTATGTTGAATTGTGTACTTGCTACTTAACATCACTACGTCACGCTCTGATTTGCTACTGAATAACCAATCAGATCGCTTTCTTTAGCCAACAATCAAAACTAATTCTACACGCTGATGGCCAACAAGTGAGGCAATGTGTGGAACACACCAAACCAACTAGCCTTACCAATGAAACCACACAGCCGACCATTGGCTTGGTGTGTCTCAGCCCTTCGGTTTGCAATACATAACATCATTAACATGCAAACTAGGATGTCCACAAGTCTTGAGTGTGCATATATTTACCTATATTTACCATCTATATTTTCCCAAGGTCGCCATGTGGCAGCGGCCACGGGTGTGAGAACCCTTTCATTCCTGCATACAGTGCTCGAAGCTTTCAATTTTACCTTGAATCTGCAATGAGTTGTATGTACAATATGCATTAGCTACCATGAGACAAAATCCATGAACTATTTAAAGCACCAAAGCAACCACTCGGTTTTCATTTTTTCTCAGACAATATGACAAGACTACTGTATAATATTTACCACTTCAGATATGAAGATTTGTCAGTACCAAGGCAGTTGTGAGGTTTAAGTAACACTTGTTTTGCTCATGCTAGCACTGAGCAAAGTAGTATGGTCAATAATATAAGTTTTTAATAGAGCGTGAAGAGCCACTGCCCACCTAACTGCCGTACATAATGCGCTTTTTGTTGCTTGAGAACGGGATGCGTTTTCTGGCTGTTGCGTAAAGTTGTTTTTCCTCTTACATCTGTTAGCATTCAGTGCCGCGAGGAGCGTGGGCCAAGGCACATGTTTTGCAGAGTTGTAATGGTATGCGCTCAGCAGTGATCATTTGCATAAGAAAAACATTACTGTCGTGATTCATCAACCTGGCCGTCTTTTGTGTCAGCAGACATTGCGAAATTTTATTGATTTCAAGTTAAACAATTGCTTCTGTCACACAGAAGTGGAGCCGTCAAGGTAATATGATTAAATTCTTGTACTTCCACTTGCTCTGCTTTCTCTGTGCCTAGAAAGGACGAGACAGAAGTGCATTTAAACAACTGCACGTGCAACCAAATCAAAATCATCTGAAATATGTACTCGTTCTCTGAGGTTGTTCACTCTCTTCAGCCCGATGGAAAACCGTCCTTCCTCAGGAGGGAATGTTTTGTATTTACGGGAAGCTGGCAGGCACAAGGGCGTACGGTGAATAGATAAGTGCTATTGATATTATCAGCAGCGTAGCAGAATAGGCTCCATTTTGAAAGGTTCAGTGACCTCTTGGGTTTCTTTAGCCAGGCTGTGAAGAGTTGGGCCTTCTGAAAGGACAGTGGAGATTGATAATGCCGTCGCGGTGCCCTCTTCACGGTTCCCTAATGACATCCGTATTCTCTGCTACCAATGCTGCTACAGGAAATCAATCTTCAATAAAACCATAATAATATGTTGACCTTTGATGTCTAAGTAGATTTTCTCACAGAGTAAAGAAATAAATAAATATAAAGTAAAAACCAGGGCAGTAAATCATCACCAGACCTGATGGAGAGATGTTAGTCTTCTGCTGTTGTTGTATTGTGCATTTAGGATAAATCCATTCCTAAAATGCATAAAAAAGGAAATGAGTGGGTAGTTGCTTTGCATGTCTCCTTTCTTTTACTGTTTTTTTTTTTTTTTTTTTTTTTGATGGCCATAATTATTTCTATGAGGGAATAGAAGAATGTAAAATTGATTGTAGAAGGTCAATCTTTTAGACACTGTGCAAGACATTGGTCAAGGTTCTCTGAATTAATTAGGCATGTCAGTTTGCCTGAGAATTTAATACTTAAACTATGAAATATTAAAGAATTCAATTTTTGACCAAGGCAAGGGTTGGCCCACACATAATCTGAGCCACTGGTGCCACATATTTGCAAATATTGAGAGAAATAAATGTGTTATGCAGTAGAAATTGTTGTTACAATCTCTAATTAAATGTTACATTTCATTTAAATTATAGGTACAGTTAAAGTCAGAATTATTAGCCCCCCTTTGAATTTTTTTTTTCTATTTCCCAAATGATGTTTAATAGAGCAAGGAAATATTCACAGCATGTCTGATAAAAAATTTTTTTTTCTTCTGGAGAAAGTCTTATTTGTTTTATTTCAAAGTTTTAATTTAAAAAAAAAAAGTATTTTAAGGTCTAAATTATTAGCCCCTTTAAGCTATATATTTTTTTGATAGTCTACAGAACATACCATCGTTATACAATAGCTTGCCTAATTACCCTATCCTGCCTATCTAGTAAAATATTATTCACTGTCATTATGGCAAAGATAATATAAATCAGTTATTAGAAATGAGTTATTAAAGCTATTATGTTTAGAAATGTGTTGAAAAAAAAAATCTCTCCGCTAAACAGAAATTGGAGGAAAAAAAAAAAAAAACGAGGGTAATAATAATTTAGGGGGGCTGTATATATTAGTCACAATCACCAGGCAGATCGCTGAGGAACTACAATTCCGCCATTACATGTACTACAAGTTCCAGTCATGCACCGCTCACACGCACCTGTTCCAGATTCCACTGATTGCACTCCCTCATAGCTGAAGCTGCTCATGGACTGA